ATTCCAGTATAAAAATATTAATGTAAAACCGAAATTTATTAACTTTTTTGATGTCACAGCCTCATGGTAAAAAACGAGTTTCTGCTCAAATTTAAAGGCTGCAATGAATGATGGGAAGACAGTGCGATTGTTACTGTTTGGTGAATTAGGAATTATACCCACCCTAATCAAGCCACAGGTTACTTCATGTGGATATGCAGATTCTGGAAACGTCATTTTCAATGTGCAGTTTACCTTGTTATGAGATGAGATCAGACACTAAGACTACATTGCCTGGTCTGTTTTGTCATTTTAATCTGTAGCCAAAGGATTCTTCATTCATTTAAAAATGGAAAAAAAAAATCCAAGATAGAATGACTGATGGAGGGAGTCCCAGGGATCAGCGTTAGACTTGAGGAGCTGTTTCAGGGGTAATTAAAAATGTCTACAAGGGCTGAAGAAAAACCAAAACAAATGAAGTTAAAGCAACAAAAACACTGCTGTTGAAGGGACTTACTTATTTTGAATTTTTACTATGTCAACTCTCATTCCCAGCCCCTAGCAACCTTTGAAGCACAGGGGCCCTACTGTTTCAATGGGTCTGCTTCACTCCCTCTTTCTCTGGCTGGAGGTTAAACTGCAGTCTACAGGGACACTTCCCTCAGAACGGCATGGGTCCTCCTGCTGAGAGTGTTGTTTGGACAGTTCCCCCCTTTTCTCCCTGTGTTCTTCAGTCAATGTTTGATGTCTCTGTTGTGGATTCTAAACTCTGAGATGGGGGTGGGTGAGTTGTTACTGCCTGATTGTTCAGGAGGGCCTTTCTTGTGCTTAATGTGTGTGTGCATTCTCCATAGCTTCCCCGAGCAGGATCCACCTTAAACCCCCCTCCCTTTTTTTACCCCCCCTTTCATACATAAAAAGGTCCTTGAAGGAGGGAGCTAACAGGGAAGGAGAATGCTCATTCCCTGTCTCTCTCTCTTTCATTCCGTCTGCCTCTCATTTCCCAATAAATCCCCATTTCCTGTTGTCTTTCAGGCCTGACTAATTACTCTTGTTTGTTCCTCTTTATTTGAATTCAGTCATGTGTTCTTTACTGGATGGGCTTGGGGTGCTCAGTTCAGAAATCATTCTGCCATTTGCTACTTAATTACGTTGAAGTCACAATCCATTCCTGGCAAGTGTTTTACACCGAGAGAGCTATTCTCTTAAAAATAGGGGGAAACAATGAAAGGCACTAAAAGTCTTACATATTTGAGAAATATATAAAACAAATAATTGTGTGCTCTAAATATTCTGTTACCTATATATGCATCCGAAAATTGGATAGATCACTCAGAGGTACAGTAGATTGAATATTTCTTGGATTATGTCCACAAGACCCCATCCTCAGTTAGTGTTTTTCTGAAAATGTTACCATTTCTTACACTTTCGTTACTGTCTTATATTTTGTGCATTATTTTCAAATAAACTCAAATATATATATTTGGCAGTCTTCAGAATGGACTATCTCAAAATCCATTGTAAAATATCAATTGACTTTCATTTCCCAAGACTTTAGATAATTTAATGTGTGGCCCATGCATTGATGGTCAATCTGTCTATTGAATGGAATGGAAAGCACAGTATACCATATCAATTACTTTTTTCACAATTTAGATAAAGTTCAACAGAGAAGCTGTTTCTTTTGGTTCCTAGGTCAGTAACGTCATTATATTTGTGATTTGTTGTGCGTTAATCAGAAACTGCGAAAACAATAAAAAATATGCCTCCTAAATATGGCTTGAATATTGTCTGCATGTCAAGCCTAAAAGCAAACTTTCCAATTCGTAAGAAATGAACTCCCCATTCTGCTGTTTCTTGTCTACCACTCCTCTGTCCCCTAAGCAACCTCTGAGCACAGTGGAAGTATGTGCTGTAAGGGTGGAGAGTTTGGGGGGTGTCATCTGCTGGATTTCCTGAATATTGTCCCCCTCTGCCTCTCGGTTTCTCCCCTGTGGAGAGAGTAAATTTCTTCCTCCTCGCTTTTTTTCCGCTCCTCTAGCTTTGACATGCTAAATCTGCCTCTCATTCAGAACTGCTTTTTCCTGCCACAGAGGGGCCAAGGGGAAATGCCAGCTTTGAGTCTCGATTTTCTCCCTGCTACCCAAACTTCTCACTGTTTAGTTTTCTTTTATATTTAAAACAAAGGCGGGGTGGGGATTACTATTTCACTTCCTTTCCAGTTTCTCTTTCAAGTTGCAGCATCCAAGAGATTTCCGATAGCTCCCTTATGCTTAAACTTTATTCTACAGTCTTACAAAGAGAAATCTATTTTGCATTAGTCTTAAATTTTATTTTTTGTTTGAATTTTGTAGTGCCAAAGAGAGGATTCTTACATTTCAGGCAATAGGCCTTATATGAGTCAGCAGCTTGTGGGACAGGATGGTGATGTCTAGCTCTATTCATAAATGCAGTACTGAAGCAGATGCAGTACTTAATATATCAAAAGATAAGCACTAACCTACAAAGTCCTTCTGATTTCTTTATACTATTTGCCTTCCTAACTAAGATCATAACAGTCTGTATATAATGTTAAAACACCCCTGAAAAACATTTTCATCTAAGGATTGTTCTAAAGGTCAAATATGAAGTAGTACCTGCAACAGGATTTGACATAGTACCTTCCTGTTGCTACAGGATCTGCAGTATGATAATATTTGTGCTACTTTTATTGAGGCAGGTATGGCAGGTATTCATGTAGTTTCCATTAACTTTTATGCACCAGCCGTTTTCCACACTTTCTATTTAAGATTCTTAGAAAACTTTAGATTCTTTATTTTTCTCAGCTAACAAAAGCATTACTGTTGTCTTGTTTAGAATAAATTCCTAAATATGTGTAGCCTTTGACATCAGTGTTTCATCAAGATTACCTTCAGTGAGGAGTCTGCTGTTTCTTGTCAGCCTCTGGTGTCAAGTGTCACATTGTGACACTGTTGTAGTTACCCTGAAAATGCTGTGAACGGGAAAGGCCTTGAAAGGCCTGAATTCTTTCATATAACGATTAAGATCAGGAAAAAGAAAATGAATTGAAATTATCTAAACATGACACCTTATCACTACCCTACCTGTAGCAGAAGAGTGAGCAGAAGCTGCCTTATATTTGACTGGCCTTATTGGGTTGCCCAGATGCAATGAAGAACTGGTAATTCGTTACAGATTAACACTGAAAAACCAGAAAAGGCTACTATGGCTTCATGTCATCAATTACGATTCATGCATTGTGGCAGAATAAGCTGTCAGAGAGTATTTAAACTATAAATTATGTATACTTTAAATGTAGTCTTTGATTGTTTCGATTATTCTGAAATGTAAATAAATAGTGTTTATGTTTTTAATGTTCTACAACACCAGTCAATACATTGTTCTCAGGCTAATAAATATATATAGCATATTTTATTACATTTTCTAACAGTTTTTCCATTACAATATTGTGTTGTATTTTTAAAATTTATTGAAAAACAGATATGTTAAATATATCACAGTAATACAATCTTCATTATGTATTTTGCTTCTTAAATCACTGCCTTGGAGTTGAATAAAATGCTGTGTCTTGAGTGTAGTATTGGACATCATTTTAGTTGCTTGGCATGGCTGTATTACAGTTCAGGCTTGAGCACCAATGAGGAAGTAATGGTTTATGAGTTACAGAGGTCTTGCAGACATATACTTTAGTTGTGTGTCTACAGTAATACGTAACTGCCTCCACTAATGTTTAACTGCTTTATTCTGCCACAGAGTCACTTTGAGGTTTAAAAGGTAATTAACCTCTGTAGGTTTTGTTGTGCATTATTATACAGAACAATAATCGTAGTCGCCTCTGCCTCCATAACCCTCTGCCAGGAGATGATTTAAAACATGACTACAGATGTTATTGTTGTCGTTGTTTCTGTTGTTGTGTTTTGTCTCCAGCTCACTAAAGACAGATGGTTAAATGTAAAGTGACGTCAGAACTCTGACTGATAGCCTCTGAGGGCCTGTCACTTCAGGATGGTTGTTTGTCCCTATCAGTGCAAGTTCTTCTCTCTGTCACTCACTCAGACACCCAAACAACAGTGCCTTTCTGCTCCGCTTATCAACCAGCCGGGCCAGGTCAAGGGTTAGCCATGCACTGAGCATGCTCAGAGAGTTGGATATTGATTTTTATTATTTGACTTCATTGCCGTTGACAAAACTGGCCTAGATGAAGACAGATAGAATTCTGAGGGAGACAGAATCTTTCTCTTCTCTTCTTCTTACAAAACCCTCCTAGTTTTTCAGTGGTATTCAGCACGATCGATCCCGCTTGCACCCTCCCTCACCCTTGGGAGGCTAGGGAGGGAGATTTGGAGCTGGATCTTTTGTGAATGTCCAGCGTTTTCAAACAAGAAGGCTGACAGCACAGATAAAAACATGCTCCTCTGTATTGTTAGTAGCAGACATGCTGTTCACAATGTGTAACCTTTAGATAGCTAACCAGACTTAACCCTCCATCCACCAGTTTCACATTGTCAATGCTCTTTATAGCTTCACAGCCTCTTGATGTTTCTAACTTTTTACAGTTGTTTTTCCATTATATTACACTCTGAAGATAAAGTTTATGATGTATGCAGTCAAGCTCTAGTACTTAGTAATTTCAATAGGCATCATTAAGGACCTTTACTTCAGTAATTTAATAAAGGTCTTGCTTATAAAATTATTGTGTGATTTTTAACCTTTTCTTGTCTGTGCCAGATGTTTTGCACCTAAAGTGCCTGGGATTCTAAAGCTTGAAACCAAAATCCATAGGAAAATAATCTGTTACTGTATAATGAATCCCCCTAGATAGTTGCTTGGGCTCAGGATGTTTTCCATTGCAATATGCATTGTGAGAAGTATGCAAATAAAATTGTTTTTAAGGAATCCTCAGTTGCACACTGAAGAAGTGTCTTTGAGTTTAACGTACCTTTTCCTCTCTGGCTTTCTGTCCACTACCGTCTATCATGTCTCGATGGCTGTCACCGCAGGGAGGAGAAGGAACGCTGGATCCGGGCGAAGTACGAGCAAAAGCTCTTCCTGCTTCTACTGCCGCAGTCGGACGTGCCACTGGGCCAGCAGCTGCTCCGAGCCGTCGTGGAGGATGACCTGCGGCTGGTGGTGTTGCTCTTGGCCCATGGCTCCAAAGAGGAGGTTAACGAGACCTATGGTGATGGGGACGGCCGCACTGCACTCCACCTTTCTTGTGCCATGGCCAACGTGGTCATCACACAGCTCCTGGTTTGGGTGAGTTAAGCCCCATATTGTGACTGTCAAGCCCTCTGTGATGAGCCCATAAGAAAATAAAGTACTAGATGTCACAGTTTCAAAAGAACAACCAATACCAAAACTTTCTTTGCTATGAGAAAACAACTCATGTTGTTTTTTTTCTTTATTTTTGTGATCATCTCCTTGCTTTTCAAGTTGATCTGGTGTTGTTTAAGGTAGCTCATTCTGAACTTTGAAATTAAAAAAAAATAGCTGGACCACCATTGCTATTTTACTATATATATTTACTTTATATATTTTATTATAAGATCCCACAACAAACAAGTGCCAGTTTGGGTTTTCCCTGTCTTGTTTTGTCACATTGTCTATTTGGAAATCCTCATGAGAAATCACCACAAACATTTGTGGAAGTACAGTATATTAGGTATAATATATGCTATATGTTCACAGCTTTCTGTTATTTTATTAAGCTCATTAAAACAAACGTGCTTAGGATGTGGTGTTACTAAAATGTTTAGTTACATTTTAGAAGTGGACAATAGAGCACAACCACATCAAATCAGGCTTCCTGCGGCTTTTAATTTTAATTCAATTCGGGATTCACTATGTTTAAATCTATTATTAGGAGTGAAACATCATGAAAGGCTGCGAGTCAAAATTGTCAGATATCTTCACACTTTAACTTTCAGTCATGATGAATACTACACCTAAACCAGTAGCAAAACAGTAGATCGAGGGATTCCTGTTCATGAAGAATGCTGCTTTTGAAATGTTATCTTTTTTCAAAAGGAGTCAGAACTGAAGACAGGATGTTTAAGGCTCTACCTGCTTGTTCAATGTTCTATGTCAGTGGTTCTCAAACTTTTTGCACCAAGTACCACCCCTAATCCAAACAAAGCATCCAAGTACCACCTACAAGTCATCATCTCATAGGAACCCCAGAAATTCTCAATGACCAACATGAGTGTGCGTGCACACACTCACACATACATATAATAAATATTATAATAATTCACTTTGATATAGCGCATTTAAATGTGGCTTCTCAAAGCGTTTTACAGAAAAAAAACAGTAAAAAAGCACCACTTCAGTGAGAGGGGTGAGCCTGTTTAGTTGAGCAAAGCAGATGTGATTTCATTTTTCGAGCCTTGATACAATTCACAACAGAGTCTAACAGATTTTCAGGGATTTTCTTGATGCAAAGCTCTCGCGGTGAATGTTGCAATGCGTCCATTAATTTCTGGAGCAACCTCTTTAATTCGTGCAACTACACCGCTATGTCGGCTTGTCATCGCTCTAGCACCATCTGCACAAATTCCCACACATTTTATCCAGTCGATGCCATTCTCTTCGATAAATTCATTCAGAAGCTGAAATATGTGCTCTCCTGTAGTTCCTGTTGGTTGCGGCTTACATAACAGAAAGTCCTCATGGGACGTACCTTCAAACTTGTATCTAACGTAAACGATAGAATTGGCCAAATTGACTACAGACTCAGTTAATTGCAGTGAAAAACATCTGCTCATCTTAACACACTCTATCAGCGTACTTTTGATATCATTTCAATAATTCTATGAATTACTGTGTTTTTCAGGGGGGCAGCAGGTCGAGCTGTTTAGCAGCCTTTTCTCCACACATTATACGTGTCAGCTCTTTTGCCAACGGTAAATAAGGTTCTTCAAAAATAGTGTGTAGCTTACCTGCTTTAGCAATCCGCAAGCTTGCATTTTTCCCCCTTTCCGTTTTTATTTCGGTATTTATTTTAAGTTTTTATTTCATGCGCATGGGAGCGAAACGCAGAGACGCTCTGTGTATTTTTCTCAAATTAACTTAGAACAGTTCTTAAATATTTTTCTGTTGTCTATCACGCTTTCCTGTGCTCACAAGATTACAAGCGTTAGTAGCACGTATTTCTATGCATTCCTGTGTTTACAACACTGGCATTGTTCCAAAACCATGCACATTCTCCTACCTCCCTATTTGCTGGAGATAGTTTTTTTTTTAAATACAATTGGTCACTTCGTCCGTAGCACGCATTCCTATAGAGTGGTATAGAATTACAGAGTATCTCTTGTGTCCACTGAAGTATTAGCGCGCACTGTATCGCAGTACGTAGGCTGTGTATTCGACACGTATTAAAATAGAAAATATGAAAACCGTCCCGATTTTTCAGCGCACACAACAAAGTTCTATGGATCATATGGCGTACCAGCTGGCGGTGCTCCGCGTACCACTGCTAGTACGCGTACCACAGTTTGAGAACCTCTGTTCTATGTAATTATCCCTGGTTAGAAGGAAACTAGATAATGAAGCTTATCAGAAGGGATCTACCGATTCACAGGGGGTGAAGCTTTCTGTACAGCCAGACGAATATTTACTCATGTGAATGCAGTATTCAGGAGGGACTCCAATAGCTGTCAAGCTCTTTACTGGTTTAGCTTGTGAAACTGGGATTTGTCATTTTATAAACATGTAGCCCTCTTAGACCTAGTAACAAATAATTTGAAGTTGAATCTGACATTTGCAGCACTTTCAAGATGTGATTAAACCTTGTTAAGCAAAAATATATAAATATATACAAATATATACTATTAATAAATGTTGAAAATGTGTGACCTACAGTGGTTATGCTGAGAAAATAAACATTATGAACATTATTTGGGAAGAACCTTTGGGGAATTTGATTCTTTATCCTGTACCCTGTGGTAAATAAGATGGAGAAGGACACAGTCTGCAGTGAAAGTTTTCAGCATTTGGGACAGCATTGTTCTCTTTTCAAAAATCAGATATTGGGAGTAAATAATTTAATCTCTTGATCTTTCACCTGCTTTATTTCATATCAGTTAGCTCATCTAATAGATCTTGAATAATTAAGTCATTTCAGTGCAGATCTTTGTTGCAACCAATCCCTTCATTACTTGAAATAGTTCATTTTTAAGCAGATAATTAAAGTAGTTTTTTTCTCCAAAATTGACATTAAAACATTTAATTGTTTAACCCATGTAGTTTCAATCTTGTCAAATGTATTCAAACTGTCTGTCAGATTTGTCTGTTTATATCAACATAAACATTAACTGTAGTAATAAAACTTATTTTCATATAACATAAAAGTGCTATACCTTTCCCATCTAATGCAGACTATTTTAAATCTGTTGAAATCTCTCAGTACAGCTTAAAGTCCAAAACGCTGCAGACAACTGTAATTAGTCTTTTACAACCTTTTAGAATTTAATACAGTACCTGCCTGAAAAAGTATTATTTCTCCATCTCCTATAAAATGGTATTTTCTGGATAGCATCTGTTGTATCTCATCAATGTAACTTGTACTCGGTAGAACTAAAGAAATATGTTGTCATCCAGAAGTGATGGATACAGCAGAATACAACTGGAATTAATCAGCTGCATTGAGCAGCCTTTATTTAGAAACAACACCTGTCTTATACAGTGGACCAAACCAATCAGCAGGCTCCCAGGAGGATAGCACAAAGTATTCAATAAGGGGTTTGTGATCCATGAAATTCATACAGGCAAATATGAATGAAACTTCATTAGTGCTCACAAATTAAGATCTTGCCAGCAGTTTAGTACAGATCAGTCATTCATTGATTTGTTTTATATTATATACTTAATGCTGATATTAATGATATTATATATATACTTATATACTTAATGCTTTATATTGACAAGCTAAACTGAGGACACAGGTGGAAACTACATGGAAGTGCATTTAAAATGCAGAACATAGTAGGAACTTTTTTACTCAGAGGATTGTGAGGGTCTGGAACAGTATAAAACATCATATCAATTAGCTATTATCAATCAAATGAGCTAGATGTGTAGAATGGCCTCCTCTTATTGTAATCCTTGTTATTTTTTACTTACATCAATAAGCACATGTTTATTGTTTGTTTGATTCTTATTTTATCAGGTTTATTATTGGTGTTCACAATATATAATAAAAATGAGCAACCACCATTTATTCATTTGTAAAGATAATATTTCTTAGATCAATGTATTTGCAGTTTTTTCCATTTCTACTTTTCTAAAAATATAAAGTATTTAATAAAAAATATATAAAGTTAAGAGCCAAATTAATTGTTTAACTTTAATGGAAAAGCTTTCTTCAGCCCTAAGAAGGACTGAGAAATTGATCAATGTTGAAAAATCGTGGAGATTGGGTTATAAAAGTGAAAAAATATTTTTTTTTCATAAAAGTTAAAAATGTGGGCATTTAGGTTTTCCATGCCCATTCTCTGTTGTGTAGTGATTCCATTAACTTACTCAAGTTAAAAACTTAGGACACCACAAGAACATGTCACAATCATATAATGCAAAGAAACAAGTCATAGGTTTATTCCATACTGAATGTTTCGGTTGTGTTTTCTCTCTTCTCTTTTCAGCATGGAATAAACCTATTACTTGTTCCTTTGCAGACTACCCATGCTGACGCAGCTTCCCATATGAACTACAATCGTTTTATGACTCCTTTGAGAAATTGTGTGCTTATCCGCACCTCTCTGTCTCATTCTGGACTTGTTCTCTTCTTGCAGTATGGCGTGGATGTGAAGAGCCGGGATGCTCGAGGGCAGACACCATTGGCCTACGCACGGCGAGCAGGCAGTCAGGAATGTATTGACATCCTCTTGCAGCATGGTTGCCCCAACGACAACCTCATCCCAGTTCCTACACCTAACTTGTCCCGCAGAAATACCAACGTTAACAACAACTCCCAGTGCGAGCTGAACCGCAGTGCCAGTGTCATCTAGCCCGGGGAGAGAGGGCAAAGTGACACCAGCCATATGTTACACTGTATTTCCTGCCAAGTTCTTCCCTACCTAACCTTTCCCTCCTCATTAGCAGACTGGGTGTGCATGACTGAAAAGTGCTTCCATGGCAACAGGAAGTGGGTACCAGTACTCAACTGTAGGCTGGAAGCACACAGGGGCAGCAAGGGCTCAGGGGGGATAACGTCAGGATTCCCTTTATTCTTTATTCTTGTACCTCCCTTAAGGAAAGAAAACGTCAGTTGATTTACAAAACCGAACACCCCTCCTTTTTTTTAGTAACAGCACACAGATGGTGACAAGGGAATATGTGGCTTTGTTTGGTCAGGAGCTTCCTTAATTCAAAGGTTCACCGCAGATGTAGCTCCAGGCTCTGGTAATTTTTTTTTCAATTTTTTTTGTGTCATTTTTATAATTATGCCCGAGCCTAAATTTTGCAAAGATTTAAATAAAAGACAACTACAAGGTGTGGGAGTATGAAAGAAAAATGCACAATTTTTTAATAGGAATTGGAGAGAAATGTCTCCACACTACAGGCTTCAGCCAAATAACAGTGTTACTGAGTTGTGGTTTAGGTTTCAGCTTTTTTTTCAACTCAGTTTATTTTATTCAACTTAATCTTTTGTTTTTCTCCTCTCCGATGTTTGGCAGCGTACAAAAACTCTTCTTCAAGCTCACCATTGTTGTATAGGACTAACACAGTACTGCACTGGGACAGAAGACATTTTCCGGTCATGTTTGAAGCCGACGCTTGCCCATATACTAGGGCTTTACTTATCTGTGTTGAGGTCTGTAAGACATCAGCATCTACTTTACACTACAGCTTTAATGCAATTCTGTGCTCTCCGTTGTCTCAACAGCTTCCAAGCATTGTAGTGATCATGTATTGTTTTTCATTGCTATTGTTGCCTTAGCTATTTGCCTTTTTTGTGGCTTAGATGGACCTGGTCCAAAATGCCAGTTTTCATTTTAGAAGTATTCCTGTGCTCTATAGAAGACAATGGACTTTAAAAGAGCCCCATGGTGGAGTGGGTCCTATAGATTGCTTTTTAAAATATTTTGGTCCAGTATCCAGTTATGTTTTGATTGTGTGTTTGTTTGTTTTTCAGTACATAATGCGTTTACCCATTTAAGGACCCTGGTGGTTGAAACACTTTAAAACCAAAATGCTAAAGAGTCTGCTCATGCAGTTGCAGTATTTTTTATAATGCACTATAGCAGAGTTTGGTCCTTAGTTCTGTGCAAAAATCTGAGCCCCTTTCACACTTTTTTCTAGTGCCCAAAGCCATAGGTTCTTCTTTCTGTCCAAAAATGATTAGGTGGACATGCATCTTTCCTGTGATTGTTGGCCTCCATGGCCTCCTGTTCTTACAAATTTGTATAATGTGTCATTACATCTGTCTTCCAGCTGTACTTTTAAAACCATTTAAGACCAAAGCAAATTCAAACATAAAGTGTGAAGCTTGTAATCAAAAGGAATTCTCCAAAAATAATTTAATGCAACACTTTTGTGGCCACAAGACTTTAATAAGGGGGAAAGTAACAGCTAAAATAAGCTTTTCTTGCACTTTATTTTTTTTTGTACTGTACAGGTCACCCTTCATACTGAGAAGCAGGTATTGTGAGGTTAACGTCTAGAGAAGAAATTAAACCATTGTTATGACATAAACTGTCAGAACAAACAGAATGTTTTTTCTTTTGCAGGCAGTGCTAACACTAATTAAAATAGATGGAATAAAACTTTTAAATGGTTTCCAAAAGCCTGTGCTTAAACACTAAATCTAATGCACCACAGTTCACTATCTTATAGTAATTTAAATGCTTATTGAATGCCAGCTTCAACTAGTAAATAGTCGAATAAAAAAAGTATAGTGTCTTACTCAACTTACAAAATATTGTTTTAATGATCCATTTAGTTTTAACAGTTCTTTATTTTTTAGTATTAGTTTTTTACTTTTCAAAAGTGCAATGAACTTTACATTTTAGAGAGATGAATATATTATTTTTTACTGTAGTTGATTCAAGTCACTGGCAATTATGTGTGACCCTTATCAGATCAGGTTTAGATTTTGACTATTCTAGTAGCATGTTTCTGTTTTTGTCTGTTTTCCAGTTCAAGAGTATAGTTTAAAATGTTTTTTTTTCTTTTTGCTTACTATCCATTTTGTTTTGAATTATAGGATAGTTAGATCATAAAAGCATGCCCAGTTACTGTACATTTAGAAGCTTGTAAAAGTGACATCCATCACTGTTTTGAAACAAATTCTAGATTAAAGATGTTATTTTCACAAGTCACATATTTCTGCACAGAACTATGTAGACTTCAATACTCTAACTGTACATAAAGGGAAAACATAAACCTTCTGTGATAATCCTGTTGGTTAGAATCTCGTTACAGATTTGGGGCCCATTTGTCTCACCATATTTAACAGTGTTAGAGAGCAAAAGGCTGATACATTAGCTATTAACTCTATTAACTCATGGACTGTTCGATGTCTTTGCATCCTAAAGGGGTTTTAGCGATTTCCAATGATCTGTTTAACCTGCAGTAAGGTGATGTAGTTTCTTACTGTACAGATTTTTTTATTGAAAAGAGCAGTGGGTTATTTTCTACAGAAGCAACTAAAGGTAGCCATTTATCAAGTAGAGACCAGTTGGCCTTATAGTCAGTCTTGTAGTCTGAGACCAAGGCTGTTTAATGTCTAATGCACTGTCCTGCTGTGAAGCGTATGGGAAGAGCATTCTTGGCAACTAGGGGGCAAACCAATATGTCTCAAATAAGAAAAGTGACTTAATTAATGAATAATTAAATGACCAGTCTTGTGGCCTTAGAGTTACAGGCAAAATCTGGAAAAGGGGATTGTAAAATTTCTGTGTTGCTATATGCTATAGTTTAAATTGTATTTGAGTTCCTGTGCGGTCATCCTTCAAAGATGCCTCTATGCTTCTTGAATTGCAAAATCCATATTATATGATGCAAAATTGCATTTTTAATTCTGACTTTATCCCAATGGTGAATGCTGAATTTAAATTTTACCACTTTGCTACAAATCACAAAAAAAATTCTAAGGAGACTTATGTCCATTATTGTCCCACTTTTGAAATTTACGTCTTAGACAGGTAAAACTCATAACACAATACATTAAGCACATGAACCCGTTAATAAATAAGAAACATACTGTACATGTATGGTGAGAAAGAAAATAAATATTTAAATAAAGTAGAAACTACAGTTGTCCAAATTAAGCTGGTTAATAGCTGGTTTAGAACTTTTTAACTTTAAAGTTCTTTGCACTTAAATCTAGGTAGTCTAAATCAACACCATGAGGGAAGGAGCTCAAAAGCTCACTGTGCAAGGGGTGGTCATGACAGACAATGATTTTATTGGCCTTCCACACTATTTATTTGACGTAGATGTAATTTTGTTGGTTGGCTTCACTATCCTGCTCACTCTGTATTTGCGTGTATTAAGGTTACCGCAGTGAATGTTAAGACTGATTCAAAGACAGACAGTTCTGTACAATTAAATCATCATCTTACTACACACATTAAAAGAGTGGAGCTTTTTCAAAAGAACAATTGCTGTTGGCTCTTCATACGTATGGCATCTGCATTTTCGTCAAAGGTTAGCTGAAAGGGTTGCAGTGTTTTCCTGACCTATCTTGTCAGATCTAGCCAGCTTATAGTTTTATCTGGTAGTTCTGATTTCAAGTTTTTGAAATATTTGCCAGCCACCTCTGGAGGTGCCTCATTTCTGGGTTGCCATTGCAGGGTAAGATTAAGGCATTCTGCACAACTAAAATGTTCTTACCTATAGTATGCAACAGATCTAATGTTTCAAAACATAATTCTGGAATTGTGTGCATGAAGAATATAATGAGATTAGTTTTTGCTAAGAAACATATGCGTATGTGTGACACCGATATGCCAAATACTCAGGATCATATGAAGGTTGTCTAGGTTATTGCCCTGTTTTTATTAGTATAAGCTGTCTTTTTGTAACTCAGCAAGGTCGACATTTTGGTGACTTATTACAGGATGAATAAGGAATCTGAAAACCTTAACCAAAGCTATGATGCTCTTTGATAAATGTTACTGGGTTTGCAACTTTTTTTAGCAACATCAGCACACAGCATATAATATCTGTTGTATCATGAAGGTTTACAATGTGATGCCATGACAACAGTTGTTATCTGTTTTAAGCAAAATAAATTCCATAACACAGAAGGATAAGCACTCACTACATTAATAAAGGTGTTTGTATTTTATTTTTGTAAAATGGAGAATTCTTTGTGTGTTTTCCCAAAGATTTGCTCCAGTGCATTTTTTTCCAGAAAAGGGTTTTTATTGCATAAACTTTTGAGTCATTTTTTATTATTTTTGGAGAAATTCTGCAGGTTTGAAGTTCTTAGATCTTTATTTGTCAAAAATATTATTTTAAAACTTGAATCGTGTATATGCATTCTCCACCAAAGTGGTACATTTTTATAGTTTTCGGGTTTTTATGTTTATCATTTGTTTTACGATAGAGTACATGCAAATTAATGCATTTGAGTAAAGAAAATGTCCTAGTCAAGTTTTTAAAAGTCTTTTTTCACCATATGTATTACAACACTTCAAATTCAATATTGCCCTGTATCTTACTGTACTGTATATTATAGAGGTTAACCTCTATGTTTCAGTTGCCATATTATCCAAATTTGAAGCTGTGCATGTAGAAGAGAAATTAAAGTACCAGTTGAGAATTTGAGAAGGTTTGAGATGCATTTAAATAAAAAACAACTGCACATTTTTTTCAAACACTTGAAATCTGTTAATCGGCCATTTAAAATTGACATTTGGAATGGAACATCCATGCTTACTTGCAAAGTTATGTAAAATCCCATAACACTTTCATACAAATGAATGCACTAGCCTTTGAAAATATCAGGGATATGCACTTTTTCATACAAGTCATTGTTACCTAAATCCATCAATTTAATTTTCAGTATGTTCAAATAATTGGGGTGTGGTATCTAAAGTCTCAAGTAAAATACTGCCTTAGACCTGAGCAAAACAATACTTGCATTCTAGGATACCTAATATAGCACCATATAATTATAGTGAAGCATAATAACATTTTAAGCCATTGCTAAACTGTAACTACCAAAATAAGTGTCGTTTCTAAATAAAATAACCTATTTTAAAATAATGTTTAAGAATTGCTGGGGTATAGGAAGAATATGGAACTTTTATTCTCTAACAATTAAAATCTTTTTAAGTAGTTGACCACGTTAATGGCACACAAAGTATAATTTACACTGATAATTTGGAGCCCGATTTTTTTGGTGAATTCAGTGAAACATGATTGATATAACAAAGTATCTCTTTACACCACAGTATCCAAACAGGCCTGGAAACCTATGCTTCTTTCATTGTTAATAGCCATCTCTCAACTGAAAAGTGCACAATAGTACATCTCTGAAATGTGATAACCTGCTGCAGCCTTGGCCGTCGATACAGTATCTGCACAAAGAGATATATTCCTGCACTGTGTTGCCAATTCTGTTGTACTTGTGTGAGGGTTTGTGTGAATGTGGGCCTGTGTGAGTAATTTTACTGATTGTTGTGAATGATTAAATAACCATGTGTACAGTTGTATAACAGGTTAGAAACAAAATATTGTAGTATAAGTGCTTTCCTCCTGTACAGATATTTTAGCAACAAGTAGTAATTACTGCACCCAGGACTTGCTTTGAAATCCCTTTAGCCTATTCACAGTGGAAAATCCCAAAATGCTGTTTTTTGGAGCACTGAAGGTAGGGGCGGTATAAGCATGCCATAATCAGTGCTGTTATTCATCCAAATATCTCAAGGCACAAAAGTAAAAATGCATGATTGGTCGTTTTCTTCTTACATTTTGGAAAACAGCATGCTCAATGAATCAGATATAAACCAAAAACTGATGCTCGGGTGTGCTGGTGATGGAGAAGACCTCCAGAGGCACATAAGCATTCTCCTATTTTAAGGATTTTACCCCCATTAAGCAAATCATGAGTGTAGAAATCATGGTCAGCATGCTTGTACTTTTAAGTGAGGGTCTCCCAGCAAAGCTCAGGCTGTCAGGTAGGTTGCCTTCACATTCTGTACATTTTTGTCATTTTCACATCTCTGCTTTATCATATGCATTTGCCAGACTGGGTGTTGAATTTTGCTTTAGGGACTGATGCCTCATCTACATCCATTTCTAAAGAGGTGCTAGCAAATGCAGATATCACATGAGGACTGCTTTCTGATAAAAGAAAAGCACTTGGTATACAAAAGAGCAGATAGATATATAGCCATTGTTGTAAGTGTGAAAAGTAGGTATAGTTGCCATTATTCCTGAGATAAGATGGCTAATGTAAGTGGAATAAAGCAATGAATTATCACAACCAAGTTGTGTAAGGGAGTTTCCAAGCAAGTCTACTGGAGGGATGATATTTTTTTGGGGAAAAAGTACCTTAAGCAGAACATGTCACTCTCATCCTATCAAAATTTCCTGTGAGTCTTCCTGTCCTTTATACTGCTTACAAATGATGGGGTGAAACAAGAAATAAGATATGTTCTACAACATCCCTGTATTTTCTGATCATTGTCAATGGTCCCTTAATTCTTAGGGAAAAAAGATATTTTAAAAAATAAATGGGTGGCTCAAAAAGCCCCAGAGGTTTGGAATAGCTCAGTTTAACTGCATTTGAAAAGGGAATGATGCATGGGAGCATTGCGGTGAAGGATTGGAGTGTTTCTTACCCTGTGATATTAAAAGGAAACAGCCAACCAAACTATTTGCGGGAGCACTTTCCCTAAAATGTAGCCATGCTAACTCCATATGATTTTATGTTGTTGAAGTTGTTCTAATTTGCTGTATTTTTATTTTTTTCTTAGTATTTGGGGTTTTATGGATATGTTCCAATGCTTATACATTGCCTGACTTGTGAGGTACTTCATGTATTATAATGTACATTTGAAATATTTATATTGCAGTATGTAAATATTGTTCTGATTTTTTTTTTTGTGCATTTAAAAAACACAAAGCAAGGCAAAAGCAAAAAAAAAGCTGCTATGTGCTTGGATGACTGTTGACTGATAATAAATGCTCCAATAAAGTAATGTAGCTGTACCCAAATTGTGGGGATAAGAAAGTTTGTGCCTGCAGTTTTACTTTGAAATTCACTTAAAAACACACTATGCCTATCTGGTACAAAGGAGTAAAGCATAATCTTCTAGATCATGAAGTAAAATATTGTTTTTTAAATATTTCATCATTTTCTAAGAGTTTCTAAAGTAGACAAATTAGAAGTGAGACAAAAGACAGCTTGGGGTCAAAGAGTCTATTCTCTTTTAAAATTGATGTGGAATTCAATTTTCAATTGATTAATTACAGCTTCACATAATGCTAACAAGAAGATTGAGCTTAATTACACTTGGGAAAACAGGGTGTATTAACAAAGTGTTGTTCTGTAAGCTCCAGTAAACCTTAGTCATAGTGAAGAATAAAATGCTACATGTTTTATTTTTTTGTTTTCAAGTTGTGCTATAGTAGAAAAGTTCCTGAAATAAATTATCTTCTTTAATTCTTTGCGGACATGCAGTATAGCAGCTTCACTAGGTGATAGATCAAAGGGCAGTGCAGTGGCTCTGTTGCTAAGGATCTGCACCTGTGGCTGGAAGGTTGCCGGTTCGTATCCCGCAGCCGGAAGGGATATCCTACTCCTTTGGCCCCCAACCAAGGCCCTTAACTACAAGTGCTCCTGGGGCGCTATATAAATGGCAGACCCTGAGCTCTGACCCCAAGCTTCTCTCCCTGTCTGTGTGTCTCATGGAGAGCAAGTTTGGGGTATGTGAAAAGACAAATTCCTAATACAAGAAATTGTATATGGGCAATAAAGTGATCTGATCTGATCTTAAAGGTAGTTATTTTTACCAGCCCTAATTTTTTTTACTGGGAACCTCAACTGAGTGGAAGTGTTAAATTAGACATCAAGATAGCTTTCACCACAGATGAAGTTATCTTTTAGAGATCATGTCAGTTGTTTGATGCTATAAATGATCTAAAATGCCCTTAAAAACTATTTACTTTGAGTTGGAAGAGGAGCAGCAGACAATCTAGATTCAGGTCAGCTCAGGTCTAAAGTGAGTTTTCCTCTCTGTTTAGACTCAGGTAATTAGTCATGACGCACTCTTGGTGTCACAGCTTGGCAGTGCTTCTGAATGGCTAAAGTGATCTGTGTTCAGGGTCAGATCATGGTCGTTTCGTTGTATAGGAAGTTTTCATAGCACAGCTGTTCAACTTGTGCACTTTCAGCTGTTCTTGCCTTCCTTGAGAAACTGCTTCACAAAAACTTTGCGGTTTGGTTTTGGAATGCAAACTTACAATTATTTGCAGCACATAATGGCATTGATTATTAACTGAAAACTGCTGGCATTGTCTGAACTTTGATATATTTTTCCATTTCAGTTGATTACAGATTCACCTAATGCTAAGGACAAAATGTATCTTTGTATTCCTCTGAAATACTCATCTCACGTTATTTGTGGGATTTATAGAACTTTAAAGAAAACTTAAACACCCAAACTGGTGTTGATGCCAAAGGAAAATTGAATGGTACAGAAGTGGCTCAAGGACATTCCATGCATCTTCCTGTGTCTGAGGAGTTTTTCACAGGGTACACATCAGTCTGTTGAATGTCCATTATATGGGGATTAAGATAAAGAAGAGGGTTTAGTGTCAAGAGACCATTTGCTCTGGGTAAAAGTGTCAGTGCCGGGAGGCGGCAAACCTGTTTTAATCCAGCCTTTATCTCCTAGATAATCTTGTTAGAGCAAATAAACTGCCCAAAGGGAGGTTATTCTCTTCTTCTACTCTTTTCTTGTGGTGTTTTTTTCTGCTCACTTACCAGTCTCTGACTTCCTTCCTCAGCTTGTCTTTACTGACAAGGAGATTAGGTTTGTGCCAATACAATGGTTACATTTCCTGTCCGTCTTTTTTTTGTATTTAGTAGTATACAAATCAATGCCATAGTAATTTGATAACACAACTCACCGTTATTGTTTTAAATATTTAAAGAAAAGTTTTAATCCTGATCAATCCACCCACCAAAATGTCAATAATTGTCCAGAGACATTTTTTTCCCCAGTTTGTCTATATAGTTAGGCATACTGTATACACACCCCATGTTGGACTGAATGTCTGTCATTCATCAGAATATTCATCAAAACATTTAGGTAACATTTTAGATAAGTGTTTCAAAATCTGAAACATTCCAAAAATGGCAATATTATGCGCATGAAGTAGGCAATTTCCAAACTAATTACAGTATAATCAGAATTTTGACGATACTGCCCCTCTCATAGGAAACATTTATTTTTTACATTCCACTTCTAGATACGAACACTTGGGATTACAAAATGAGAAAACTATCAATTTAGGAATTATAGACCACTTAATCCCTAATTTATAATATTTTCACCCGAGAAATGTAACTAATGACATAATTTAAATGTTAATGTTAATGACTTTTATTGCAAATAATCCATCCATCCTTTGTCTAACCTCTTCTTCCAATTCAGGGTTGCCTGGTAGCTGCAGCTTATCCTGGCAAGTAACGGGATAGGATGTCTGTCCATTACAAGGCACACACTCACACCTAGAGCCAGTTTTCCCAGAAGCCAAATTACCTTCCAGTTTGTCTTTCGTCTGTGGGAGCAAACCCATGTAACATTTTACATTGGGATGTGCCTCAATGAACAATGTTAACTGAAAGGATTTTGTCGTTATTGGAGTTGCAGGAAATGTGGCTTCCACCCCTTTCTAAGTTGTGAGATCCGTAATTAATTTGCTATGTTTTTTGTAATAGCACTGTGAAAATCAATGCTTTTAATTGCCTGGTAAGATGGAGCAATAAGATTAGTTTAATTATCGCAATAAAACTGAACAAGAAAGGAGATCGTTCAGTCTGCATACAGATATATTGTATCCATAGTGCCTTTTGGGCTTGATTACTAAGACATGCTTTTCTCTGACAAATGTGTGCCTAAGTGTCACAGTGTTCCAAAATTGAAACTACTATTTCAAAGTGACTTTAATTTCTTTTTAATTGTTTTCTTCAAACCAGCTTAGTCTTATGCAGCGTCATCATGCAAATATCTTTGGATCCGGACTCATCTTCATTTACTGACAGTTGTAGAATTGGAAAGCGTGATTTTGTGGTAATAAGCAGTGCTTCCTGAATTCCAGCCTTCATCACCTGTCTGTGTGGTGTTTGCCTGTACTTATCTCCATTTTGGGGTTTTATTAGATGGTTCAGTTTCCTCTAACCTCCCATGGAAATGCAGGTTAGATTTTAATTGGCTACTCTAAATTTTCATAATAGGTTTTGTTTTGTGACAAAAGGAAAGTACCTAAGCTTCCCACCTTAGTACTCTTTAATGAGCAGTGTGGCTTTGGTGACTGTCTCCTTTGCACTACACATACAGTAGTAGTTTTTCATTTAAGAATTTGATATATCCCTATATCTAACATTCATTCTGCATCTTCATATTCTGGTACCTCAATAAGGTATAAAAAACTCAGATGATCATATATGTTATATCTTTCTTTTCCTTCAGATTCCCCCATTATGAAGTCAGTAATTGTAAGAAGGTAACAAGAAGTTTGCAGAGAAATTCCATTCTGTACCATAATTTAATTGTCTGATTCTATCAGTAAAATTTGTAAAAGAAAGTCACTCCTAGCATTAGATTTATTTTTATTTGGATTCTTCTTTTTCATAACTACATGAGTACAGTTTAATTTCTTCATTGTTCTATTTTGTTTCTATCTTGAACATATTCAGCTAAATCACTGTCATCAAATATGTCACCTTGCACCTCAACACCTCAGCAACATTTTTGTTTCTCATTACTCTCTCCTTATAATAATTAATGTGCTTTGTTTCCTATCAGGTTTTATTTCAACTTTAATATCCTCAGTGTCACCTATAAGGCTATTATTGGCTTAGCACCTCAGTACCAAACTGACTTACTATCTTTCCACTCCCCTCCTCACAACCTTCTTTCATCTGTCTCTGGTCTCCTGTTCATCTCCCAAGCTTGTGTATATACTGTACTATGGGTGACAGGGCCTTATCTTGCTTTTCCCCAAAGCTCTGAAATTCTATCCACAAGGTTATCAGAGAGTCACCATCCGTGGATTATTTGCAATAATAATCGTTAACATTAACTTTTTATTTTTACATTAACCTTTTATCATCTTCTTCCTTCTGCATTCTAAACCCTTGTTTTTAATTGTGCTAATTTTGTTACTTCTTCTCCATGTTATTTTTTTTGTCTTGCTGTAAAGTGCTTTGAGAACTTGAGAAATGATTATAAACTATAAATTCAAATATAAGTATAATTTTCGGATAAATGCAAGATTTGTTTAAAGTTCGTTAACAAACCACGTGTTATTGGGTGATGTTCTTAAGAGTAGTTTCCAATGCTTAATGTTGGAACTGAAACAGATTGATAGCCTATATGTAGTATCCTTCTCTCCTGTTTTTTAAAATATTTTTGCTTTTTGTCAAACAAATTCAACAAAACAAATGTTGACTGAAGTTAAAACAAATCCATTTGAATGTATTCAAGAGTTGATATACAGGCAGTCAAATTATTAAGGTTTAGAGCTCTGGTCATGAACCTCACTCACCTCACAAAAGAAATAACTGTTTAATCCCAGCGACTGAAAGGACAGGGTCACACCAGTCAGGAAAGAAGGCTGAAGTGGACACCTGTTGGCTTGGTTACTCAGTTACTTGGTTACTGGCATTCTCTTTTGTTTATCATGTAATTCATTACAATAAAACTGATCTAAAAGCTGCAGTTGACAGGAAAAGCAACCAGTAAGGAGCCTAACTGGATTGTTCGAGTCTCCATACTACAGTAAATGCACATTTGTAAGTGATTCAGATCTTATTAAGTTCCCTGATAGAGTAAATCAACATTTCAGCATCAGTTAGCACTATAAACTATGGCCCTTTGGTTTTAATTGCATTTTGAACAATTTAAATATTTGATTTTGCCCCATTTTTTATTTTCTGCCACACTCTGCCATTCTTCTGTATTAATGTTCTCCGATGCCCCTCCCTTTTTTCTCTGTCTTTAATCAGTATCTCTCTTTT